GAATCAAGCAGTAATTTTTATGCTTTTCATGCTCCAACATACAATACTTAGTAACAATATACCTAGATATATTCTTAACAGAAAAATTAAGGTATTGATGTAAAACCTCAAGTTTTTCATGCTCAACTATACTATATGCATAACCATGACACATAATATCATCAGCAAACAATTTACAGTATTTGTTTTGATCAAAAGAAGCTATATTATATGGATTTTCAGTAAGAAAATCCTTATATGCTTCGCATTTCTTAGTATGCCTTTTAGGGTTAGATGTACCAATATAAGAATCAGCTTTATACCTTTTCAATTTGCAATACTTACACTCGGCATAAACAGAACCATCATCGTCTTTGGTGAATGTGTAGTGGTCCCAAATAGCAGAGGTTCTTCTCCCAAATTGGAATGAACCAGTGAACTTCCTCTTAGAGGATTTATTTAAATCAACTGCTTCGGACAATACATCATTTATATCCCCTTGTAAAAAAAATTAGGGTTAACAACCAACCTTATAAAAGCAATTCGAATGAACAACAAACCTTATAAAAGCAATTCGAAAGAACAACCAACAGTAGCTACAAATTAAACAATTTATTTAAATTTTAAATAAAGGCAGCTAACAACCTTATAAAAGCAATCTGAATGAACAACCAACAACACAAACAAATCAACAGTAGCTACAAATTAAACAGTTTATTTAAACTGTAAAAAAGGCAGCTAATAACATTATAAAAGCAATCAAATGAACAACCAACAACACAAACAAATCAACAATATAAACAAATCAACAGTAGCTACAAATTAAACAGTTTATTTACCTTTTTCAGAATGCCCTTCATTCTAGTTTGTTGATTTTTCTGCTACAAAAGAAATGAATAATATATTAATAAACAATATTAAAATCAAAAACAAAATAATACAATACTAAACAATAACATACCTGGACCATTCAACTCGTAAGAAAAGTTGTCCATGAAACCCTTGAAAAAAGGATTTGAATATCAACAGATATAATAAATGAAGATGCTCGGTTATGGTTTATTTAGGTTTGGATTGGAATTTAGGTTAGGGATTGGGTTAGGGTTTTGGGTTCAGGTTTGAGTTTTGGATTCAGGTTCAAATTCAAGTTCGGGTTTGGGTTCGAGTTGGGTTCGAGTTGGGTTTGGGTTCGGGTTTTGGTTTAGGGTTTAGGTTTAAGTTAGGGTTGGGTGATAGAAGATGAACAGGTTTGGGTTTGATCGAAGAAAACAAAATGATTTAAGGGTTTAGGTGTTTGTAAGGATCAACGAGAGGTTTGATCTAAAAAAACATGAAGTAGTATGTGTTTTGGTGTTTGTGAAGATCAACAGACGATTTTTGTTAAGAACAAATATGAACTGGGATGAATACGGATGAAAAAGGGAGAAACGTTTGGGTGTTTGATCGAGAAAAACAAGAAAACATATGGATTTTGGTGTTTATGAAGATCAAATGTAGGTTTTCGTATGAACAAGGATGAAATTTCGAGTGTTTGATCCAAAAAAAAAATTGATTTAGTGTTTTTGAAGAACAAAACAAGGTTTTTTCAAAGAAAAATGAAGAACACGGATGGACTTCCAGAGAGATGTCAGAGAATTTGAGAGAAACGGAGAGCTAGAAAGAGCAAACTGAGAGAAATGAATAGGAAGTTGAAAATGAGGAAAAAAACAAAAAAATCTTACCTTATATAGCGATCTGTTCGGGTCGGGTATTTTGGATCCGCGTGTTTTTAATTTCTTTTGGCATTGCATCGCTATCCCCTCTTTTTGATTTTATTCAATTTAGTCCAACATTAATGATTCAATTTAATCGTTATATTTTAAATAATTTCAATTTCATCCCTATATAATTTTTATTAATTAAATATTTATAATTAATATTATAATAATTATATATTATAATTAGTATTAAAATAATTAATATTAATATTAATATTAACTTATATTAATATATTTAATATTATAATTAATATTAATATTAATATAATATAATTAATATTAATATTACTATTATTATAATTACTATTATAGTAATTATATATTATAATTAATATTAATATTAACTTATATTAATATAATATATTTTATAATTTATAATTAATATTAATATAAAATATAGTCTATAACATTAATATTAATATAAACTATTTGTTATAAATTATATAGTATAGTTTATAAACTATAGTTAATATAATTAATATTAATATAATATAGTTTATAAACTATATACTATATTAATATAAATTATAGTTAAGATAATTAACATTAATATAAAATATATAGTACATTAATATAAACTATAGTTTATAAATTATATACTATAGGTTATAAAGTATAAACTATATAGTACACTAATATAAACTATTGATTATAAACTATAGGTTACATATATAGTTTATATAACATATAAATAGATTGTATATATACATATGCTATAGCTTATATATATATACATAGTTTATATATACTATACATAGTTTATACATATACGATACATGTACTATAAGTTACATATATAGTTTACATGTATACATATACTATAGGTTACATTACATATATTAACTATTGTTTATGTATAGTGTTTAGGGTTTAGGGTTTAGGGTTTAGGGTTTAGGGTTTAGTATTTAGTGCCTAAAGTTTAGGGTTTGGGGTTTAGGGTTTTTATAAACTATACACTTTATTAATTTATGTAGTTTATGCATATTGTTTCTATAAACTATATAAGTAATTTACTTTATATGGTTTATATATATATACACACACTATACATAGTTTATACATACATGTACTATAAGTTACATATATAGTTTACATGTATACATATACTATAAGTTACATATATTAACTATTGTTTTTACACTAGGTTAATGTTACATATATAATTTATATAAACTATTGTTTATATAATCTATATATGAATTATCAAATGTGTCTATACATATATAGTTTATAAAGTTTAGGATTTAGGGTTTATATTTTAGGGTTTAAGGTTTTTATAAACTATATAATTTATTACTTTATTAATATAAATAATATTTTATACATACATATACTATATTAATATAAATTATAATATATAAACTATATATTTTATATAGTTTATACATATATAGTTTATATACATATATATATATACTATATTAATATAAATAATATTTTATAAACTATATACTTTTTATAGTTTATACATATATAGTTTATATACATAGTTTATATATATAGTTCACATAAACATAATTTATATATATAGCTTATAATAATTATATAGTTTATAATATAAATATAGTTTATATATAAACTTATATTATATATATATATATATATTATATTTTTTCAATTTTTTAAATGAATGCAATTTATTATATATTTTCATTATTTCTTCACATTTTGCATTTATTTCGATTTAATTCTTTTGTGTTTTTTTATTTATTTCAATTTTAAGTCTTTCACTTTTATATATATTCAATTTAGTCCTTAAATTTATATTTGCATCTTCCATTGTTAATTGCTATTTATTTATATTTTTGTAACTGGCCCATAATTTTTTAAATGTGCTTAATTAATCCTTTTTTATATTAATTTAAACCTCATATTTTAAATTTATTTCGATTTAGTCCCTTACATATGTGTGTTGTTCAATTTATATTTAAAGATTTTATTTGTAATTTTACATTTCTTTAATTTTGTTATTAAATTTATATTTTTTACAAAATTGATCTATGAATATTTATTTTTCTCTTAATTTACTCGAAATCATATATAATTACAACTTGCAATTCAACAATCACGAAAGATGACAAAATAATTAATCCAAAAAATAAAAACGACCCGACCTGAACTCAATTTGTATCCGATAAACATCCGACCTGAATTTTATCTGTCAATGATGTGACACAGTTTGAACGAGATCCGACTGAAGTCCACCCGAACCTATATTAACCTAGTCTTTATCTGCTTCGGACCTGAACTGACATCGATCCGACCTGAACCCGATCTGGATCTGGTGTCAAATCAACCTAAAAATAACCCGAACTGATTTGACCTGACCTAAATCCGCTCTGAATCTAGTGTCAAATCAACCTGAGTTGACCTGTACCAGATTTTACCCGACCTGCCAAAATCCGACTGAAATCTGTCCAATTACCTAATTTTACAGCCCTAACCCCAATCCCCTAAATCTTCAAACTAAATTCCCAAAATCCCAAATCATATATTCAAATTTCTAACTCGAATATTATTGCATTTCATTCCTATGGCAAGCGATGATGGCTCAAGCAATTAACATGGTGAAATGTTTCTACTGGGATTTGGGGGACAACGTTGGGGTGATTATTCAGGGGTGGTCGATTACGGGTAGATGGGTTCTTAGGGAAGATAATAGTGACCTAAATGGCCATCGGCAACGACAGTCTGCATGGGTGAGGGATTTAAAATTTTGATTTTTTTAGGAATTTAGAGTTTTTTTAAATTTAAGAGAAATTAAAGTTTTTTTAAAATATAAAAAATATTTTTATGTTCTTTTTAAAATATTTTTTTAAATTACCTAAATGTGACACATATCACTTAACAGTCTTTCTAACGGTCGTTACAGACAATGCTCCTAAAATGGTAATGTTTGTAATGTTAGACATCTAGATTGACTGAAAAAAAAGTTTATGCATCACTTTGAAAAAAAGTGTAATTTAGACAATTGTTTTATATTAAGCCTTTATAATATTAAGTCCTCGTATCATATTTTTTATTTCAAATCTTATTTTTCTAATTTAAGTTTAATTTCAACATTAATTGTTATCTAACTGAAAATCCTATAAATTACCCCCTACGTTTAATTTTTCTAATATACTATAAATGTAGGGAGACTTTTATAGCTGAAAATATCTCTCATTACTCCTATAATTTTCAACTATAAGTCTCACATCCTTTGCCTATAAAATTTTACACTTACATCTCTCTCTCTCACAACTTCCATTCCTTTGCCTAGAAATGGGGTTTTCCAAGGTCATGAGCTTTTCCAAGTTCCTCATCTTAGCCTTGGCAATGGTGGTTGCCGATTCCACCAGTACCCTTGATGAGGCCAGCTGCCAGCCATGCATTTTGGATCATCGTAAGGTTGAAGGTCAATTCGAGACGTCGAGGGATTCTGAGATAAATCATCGCCTGCTCGCCGAGAAACGAAAAGCTATTAGCTACGAAGCAATTAAGGAAAACGTAGACCGGTGCAACCGACCTGAATGTCTGAAGGGTGAGCCAGTCAACCCTTACACCCGCGGTTGCACCTACGCTATGGGTTGCAGGAGGATCACTGATTGATGATGATGATGACATGTGGTCTTGATGTTGGCGTTGTTTCTTTTTCTTCATCGTCATCTTCTTCTTGGGACCTTAGATAATCTTATATTCTTGTGATGCTTAGATTTTACTAAGGATTCATTACAATCAATAAACATTATATAAACATGCAAGAGTCCATACTGTAGATACTAATTTTTTTATCCATTTGTTTTTTAATATTATTATTAATATTATTATTATTTTATTTATACTATTATTATTATTATATTATTATTATATATTATTATAATAATTATTATTAATATTATTATTATTACAAACAGATCCATTTTACAAATCTCGTAGCCCAATACTAAGAGGCCCGTTTTACACCCAGACTGGCCCAGATCTGAGAAGCCCAACCCGTATCTACCCAAGTTTGGAAACCCTAAACATATTAGGGTTTCATCTTCTTCTCCAGCCGCCTCTCCTTGTCAGCTGTTGGATCTAACTTAGATCCAACGGTCCAGATGATCCCAACAACAAACCCTAGGGTATCATAATCCTAGGGACACGCGGCTGCCACCGCTGTTGCCACCGATCTACGCCGTTCCACGCCACTCTACACACTGCCACGACGCTAACAAGAGCCTCCAAAGGAAACAAGGAATGCCGTCCACGTTGAGGGCTATGGTGAGCCACCACTATAGTTTAGTGACTCACCAAACTGCCACCTTTTTACCCGGTCTGAGACGAGCGCCAGTGATGGTTATAAAACCATCAACCGAACCTGTGAAGAGAACACGAATAGAAAAAAAGAACGAACACAAACAACAAGCAACCAAAACACAACCAACAGAAAAAAAGGAGAGAAGAAAGAGAACTTACCCTTGAAGCCTCGATCATTGCCGGAAGCACCAAACGTCGCCAGAGAACAGAAAATACCGAAGGTATTTTCTTAGATCTACTCCGATTAAGAGTCTTTTAGGGAAAACTAAGGCCAGATTCGACATTGGGGAATTTTGTGTGTTATTTTCGTGTTAAATAATATTTTTCGGCCACCGGAGGCGGTGGTGGAGTTAACGGCGGCAGACGGTTGCCGGTCGGTGACCGACCTTCCTCCGCTTGGAGAATCTAGAGAGAGGCGAGAGAGTTTTAAAACTCTCTCAGTTAGAGAGAGAAGTGTAAAAAAAATGAGAGAATGGCCCTTAAGGGTCGGCCATATTCGGGTTTAAATACCCCTTCCCAAACGACGTCATTTTGGGGAGGGGTATTTGCATAATTTTAAATGGGTAAATTATACTTGTTGCCATCCCATGTTTGTAAACTGCTATTTTAGTCACTGAATTAAAGCAATGATCCTTTTAATTCGATATTTAAATTTTATTTACATTATAATTTAGTCACTAATATAAAGATATAGATTTTAGGTAAAATAATCGAAATAAATATTATAATTAGTCCTTGTAATTTTGTTAATTAATATTTTTATCCCAGAATTCATGTTTTAATTTATTTTAATTTGAGGTTCGAATTTAACATATGTTTATTTTAGTCACTAAATTAATAATAGGTAAAATAACCTGTTTAGCCACTAAAATTTTAAATAGCTAATTATGAATTAGGGTATTTAATTTTAATATATTATAATTTAATCATTAATTTCAAATACTTTCATTTATCTTACAAGTTTTATTACTTTTTATATTTTAATACTATAGTTTTAATTTTATTTATTTTAGTCATTATTTATTTATATTTATATTTTATATGTTTATATATTTAATTATTATTGTTATTATTATTATTATGTAGTCATATAAACTTATATAATAAATAATATTTATTTACTTAATTTTTTATATATTAAATAAAAATCCTATTTATAAATTTAATTTTATATAAATTACTTTTAAGAAAAATAATCATATTTTAATATTTATTTATTTATTTTATATTAAGAAATGGGCTGTCTTAAAGCACCTACAAGTCCTTTTCTGATATTCTTAAATAAATAAATATCCTATTTTTATAAATTATATATATTAATTTATTTTAATTATTTTTAGAGAAATGTTTTATTAGTATTTATTTATTTTTTAATATTAAGAAATTGGTTGTCTTAAAGAACCTAGAAGTCTTTTTCTGATATTTCTAAGTAAATAAATATCTTATATATTTATATATATATATATTAATATATTTTCTTAAAATTATATTAATAAATTTGAAATAACAAGATTATGAATTAAATATAATTTTGAATTTTTAAATTTCCAATAATAGAGACAATTTATAATTAATGAGTACTAATTTTGGGCGTTATAGGGTTGCTAATAATTCCCTAAACGTAATGGACCACGAATCTTTTCTTTACTACAAATTTTTGGTTATACGCAGATCAGTTTATCTTTTAAATTATGTTTTCTTAAAAACTATTTTAAAATGTTATTTTTAGGTATTTGACCTACCTAACCCAAAGGGTCAATGGCTACTCCCAAAATATTTTTATTTTAAATCAAAATCATTTATATATTCATTTTAATTTTCCCGCCAAGTAAAAATTCATACCCGGGCAAAAACCGGTTACGACAGCTTGGCGAATTCGTTGGGGACTGGTCAAGCTTTAAAATCAATTATAAATTGTCTCTATTCATTAGAAATTAAAAATTCATATATTTAATTTATAATTCTTTCCTTTCAAATTTTTTATATATATACTTATTATTTTCATAATATTTTATATATTCTTCTTTATTACTATTTTTTTTTCAGGTATTAAATTTCATTTTTTATTTGTTTGTAAGAGGTTTGAATATTTCTACTCACACACAACACTTGCATTGCATAACATAAGCTTTATAATCAAGCTTGTCCCTTTTAAGTGGGAGTCAAAGCGATGTCTTCGTGAGAATTTATTCTCCGTGTTAGACCTAGCAAGTAGTTTTTGGGGTTCATATGCTCTATGTCTTCGTGAGAATTTATTCTCCGTGTCAGGCATAGGGAAATGTGTCCCCTCGAATTGAACTCGATCCGCTTAAGTCTGTAGTGGACTAGGATTGAGGGTTGGTAGCCCAAGGGGGCACTAACAAGGACAATTCGAGTACCTTTACTCTTAGAACTGAAACTCTACATATAGTAAACCCTAGAAACTCTTCTGATTTGAAGCCATGCCGAAATTTTGTCTAAAATAGGCGTACACGAAGGAGAAATAAATTCTAACTTTTTCCTTTTAATTTATTTATTTACTTCCCTGCTAAATAAATTGCATGTGAATTTAGATTATTTAAAGTATGCTATGTAGAAAGCATGTTTAAATAGAAATATTTGGGTAGACATTAAATTAAATTTTTCTTCTCTATTATTTAAACTAATTCATTTCTTTTTATGTTTTCTTTTATTTTTATTGTTTGCATAGCATCATATAGGATTAAAGGTATTGATCTTCAAGTTAATCGTCTCATTGGAAAACCTTCATCTATGGATAAAAAGTGTTCAAATCAAATAGTTCAAAACTCAGAAGTAAAACAGTGGTCTGAGGACTTACAAAGACAAGGGGGAGACAGTCTACAGGATGATTATGTACCCAAGTTAGCAAGTTATGCTCTGGTTTCTCTAAAAAAATGATATGCAAGATTTGCGAAGCATTTGGGAGAGTTGGGACTCAAACAAGAAGTTGCAGTTCTATCAGTCTTACGGGGACATCCCATATTTTCTCTATGTCAAAGTTGATGATGAATTGCTTCAAGCCCTGATTCAATTCTGAAATCCCAGTTATAATTGCTTCACTTTCAATAATGAGGATTTGGTTCCTACTATTGAAGATTATATAACTTTGCTACATATAGAAGGGGCTTTGGAGAATCGAATTTATTCAAGGTCATTTAAAACTCAACCTTTCCGAGTTAAATTAACAAAGATTGCAGGAGTACGAGAGGAATGGGTAGTGGCCAGTACGAAACAAAAGGGCGAAGGCGAAGGCATTGCCTGGACCAACATCAAAGAAATTATTCAGAGTCATCAAGATGATAAAGTATGATTTGATCTCGTTGCTCTGAGTATATATGGTATGGTCATCTTCCCAAAAGCATTGGGATACATTGAGGCTGCAGTAGTAGATTTGTTCAAGCAGTTACAAAAAAAGGTCAATCTTGCTTCTGCAATTCTAGCAGAGACTTTTCGATCGTTAAGCGCTTGTAGGAGACTGGGAGGTGGACGATTTTTCGGATGTGCACAATTATTATATGTCTGGATCCGTAGCCATTTTTGGAGGAAAGAAAAGGTTTCATACCGACGCTTTAGTACGGACTACTCAGTGTTGAAAGATTTTCTAGAGCAAGAATGGCCAAAAGAAGTCACGAAAGATATGTGGATAAATACCCTTCGAAATTTGCAAAACAATGACATCGTTTGGCGTACCCCGTGGCAAATACAAAAGGAGTTCTTTTATAAATGTGGTGATTACAACTGGGTGATATTACTCGGTTTGTGGGGAAGAATTGGATATGCACCACTTCTGGTTATAAGGCAGTACGAGGGTCGTCAATTTGTTCCTGTTACTGCTGGGTTACATTCGTCTGAGTTCGCATTTCATAGCAAAAATTACAAAAGAAACATCATGGATATTGTTAAAGCTTGGAAAACAACTTTCTGTATTCGGGACAAAGTAGCAAAAGTAATGTTAACTCTTGATTATGAGGAATGGAGATCTATTAAGAAAAATGAAAATATTCCTCTACCAGACCAAAATGAGGATATTTCTATGGAAGATCACATTCGGGTAGTTCCATCAGATATAGAAATCCTAAGAGCCAAGTTTGAAGCAGAAAGAGAGGGTTGGTCAAAAGAGTTAGAACGAATGCGACAAGATAAAGCTATATTGGGCGTCGACGTTGACTTTCATTCAGCACAATGTGCAATGTTGAGGGAAAACAAAGAAAAAGTAGATGGTGAGTTCAGAACGTTAAAGAATAATTACCATGAGCTGCAAAAATCCTAGAGAGCATCAAGATCGAGCCGAGAAACAACACAGATGACAA